GGGTTTTGGAGTTTTGTCCCCGCTCGAGCGGACTATATCACGCTCGAGCGTGAAATTCTTCCTTTCAGCATTTAGTACTGGGTTTTGCAATTCTGGGAGGGTCCTTTCGGCGCTCGAGCGACCTATTTCGAACTCGAGCAGATCCACGCATTCTTTGGATCCCGCTCGAGCGTTAAATTGCACGCTCGAGCGGACTGGTTTGGTTTAAATTCTCGCTTCCATGACCCTTCAGTTCATTTTTTTCCCCATTTTTCAGTCTCTCTTCCCTAGGGCTTGGATTGCGACCTCATTGGGCCTGATATTGCCATCTTCCTTCCTCTTTCATCTCCGATTCAACCTTGGTAAGTTTCTCCCACCTTTTCTATTTGTTTTTTCCTCTGTTCTTTCGGCTCTTGTGGAGGTCGTCTTTCGGTTTTTTTTTTTTGTTTTTTTTGTTTAGTTTTTTTTTCTCCTTTGCCTCACACACTGTCACCGAGTCTTGGTTTCCTCTTAATGGTGAGTTTACTGAGTTTTTATGTAGTCTGCTGTGTCCATAGTTCTAGGGTTCTAAGTTGTTGTTCTAATGCCTTTCATTGTGTTCTTTCATCTCTCAATTATATGTTGATTTGGTGAGTTTGGTTCAGATTTGCTAGATTTTGGATACAAATTAGTGCCTTATTTTCATTATACTGTCATTCATATTATGCTCAGAGTCTGTCATTGTTATTATACTAGGTTTTGATATCTTTCTAATACTGTTACTAATGTTTTCTGTGCTCTGTTGCTTTGGTTTTTGGGATTGTTTTGTTTGGGCTTTAGTTGTGTTTGGTGTCACCATGTTTGCTCCCAAAAGACGCAAGTCTACAGTGTCTCGTCCTTCGTTTAATCCTCATAGATTTCCCTCTGTCAAATAAGCCAAGTTATTCAAAAAGTCGTTTACGTCCAGGACTGTTCATCTCGAAGGTCATGTCCAGCCAAATACCTTCAAGTCTATTCCCAACCGTCCTTTGTTTGATCCATTAGGCGAAGACTTGGTTTTGTCCTTTTCCGGATGCCAAAATCTAGACTGGGTCCGAGAGTTTTTTTGCAACATTGAGAATATAGATGATATTGGTCATTCCTTAACCACGTGGGTTCGAACTAAGTCCATCTTTGTCACTCCCGAGCTTATTAGAGGGCTTCTTAGTATTGACAGTGTGTTTCCGGAACATTGTCCTTTTCCGGTTCGTCCTACTTGTGATTTTAATGTCGTGGCTGAAGTTTTGTGTGGTGCTCCTCATAACTGGATAAAGGGCACTTTGATTAAACAGTTTGAACTCCTTCCCGAGTTTCGACTGCTTAATCTTATTGTGTGTGCTAATATTATTGTCACCACTCACTCTTCTGAAATCAATCAAGAACAGGGGTTCGTTCTTTTTTGTATTGCTCGTCATATGTCCATTGATCTTGCCACCCTCATTCTTCGTAAGATGATTGTTGTCTTTGGTAACAAGCAATTAAGCCTCCCTTATGGTTGTTTAATCAACCGTCTCTTGTCCCGACTTGAAGTTCCAGTTTTAGAAGATGATGAGTATACCTTTCCATCTAGGCCCTTTACTAAGAAGACTGTTTCCCAGAGTTGTGCACATGTCAAGGGGGAGTCTTCTAGGGTTGGTACTTCCGCAGGTACAGCAGCTGGACTTGTCGAGGAGGCAGAGATTGATGCTGCCACAGTTGGTGTTGAGGAGGATGATATTCCACCCTGGACTTTTCATGACCGGCTTCGACATTTCGAGGAGGTTGTGACACAGCGGTTGGACTTTCTGGATGCTCGGTTTGATTCCTTCGATGGCCGCCTTGGACAGTTGAAGCAGTCCGCTGTCTAGACTACTACTCAGCTCGCTCATGTTATCTCTTTGCTTCAGATCTAGCAGCCTCCTCTTCCCCCTGATGCTTGACACAGATCTCTGTTTGTTGGACTGTTTTACTCCTTGTCTCTAGGCCAAAAAGGGGAAGAATTTTTGAACGTTTGATGATACAGTATGGATATTTGGTGGATGATACAGTTTGGATATTTGGTAGTTTAGTTTGGATACTTTGATATACTTTGGCTATAGTTGTTTTTTTTTTGTATAGCTGTTGTTTTTGTGGACTTTAGTTATTTCATAGTCATTTGTTATATTCTTATGAAGTTCCACAGTTGTTTTTTTTTTTCTTGGAAATCAAGTGGGCTTCATAAGTCTGCAGGTTTCCAACCAACTGATCAAGCTTGAGGGTATCAACATTTTGAGCCTCCTCAATGGCTGTCACTTTTGATTGGAACCTTTCGGGTAATGACCTCAAAATTTTTCCAACAACTTAAGCTTCAGGGATTTTTTCACCGAGTGTGAAACAGGAATTCACGATGTCACTAAGTTTAGCATAGAAATCATCAAATGTCTCATCATCACGCATAAAAAGGGTTTCAAAGGCAGAGGTAAGACGTTGAAGTTATGACCTTTTGACAGAAGTAGTACCTTCGTGAATTGTTTCAAGAATGTCCCAAGCCTCTTTTGCTACCTCACATGTGTAGATACGACGAAACTCTTCAGGTGTGACGGAGCAAAAAAGGGAATTGAGAGCCTTGCTGTTCCAACTCGAGTTTTGATAATCGATTGTGTCCCATTTATCAAGGGGTTTGGGAATCTCAATATCATCAATGGTGACAGTAGGTTCACTCCACCCATATAGCACACAGTGCCAAACTTTCTCATCGATGGATTTTAAAAACGCTCTCATACGAGCTTTCCAATAAGAATAGTTTGTACCATCAAGTAACGGAGGTTTATGGGTCGAGTTACTTTCACGAATTGAATCCATATCACCAATCACACAAAATCTCACTTCTATAGTTTTGATAAAAAACAAAGAGTGACCTGCTCTGATACCCAATTGAAAATCCTAAGTGATTCGTGATTAGATCAAGATTAAAATATTCCAATTCCCAATCAATCAAAATACACAATCTAAATCAACAAGCACTTACGAAAGTGATTTAGATTGTTGTTTTCGAAATAAACAATAAATCGACACAAATGATTTTTACGTGAAAAAATCACAATTGAAGCACCTTCAATTGTAATCAAAAACCACGGGCAAAACGCCACTAATCAATCCACTACTGAAGAAAGAAAGATTACAAAGACAACCAACAAATTACCAAACGCATCAAATTTGTCTTCAAGCCTTCTGAAAATCTTTCACCACAGCCTTCGTCTCGGAATTGATCAGTATGAAGTTAAATCCACAACTTCTAATCTCGAATCAACGACCACGTACAATATCAAACTCCTTTGATGCTCCACGCTTGAATCTTCGGATTCCACCGAAGAAGAACACTCTTGAATATTAAGAAACAAACTCCTTGATGTATGTATCTTAGATCATAGGTCAAACCCTCTCAAATATATCAAGGAAAACTCACAAAAACTTCAGAGTAAAACTTCAAAAGAAACCCTAAGACTCTTAAAGAAGATCTAGGAAAAATAAACCCTAAAATCAGCCTAAAACAGATATATATAGAAAACAGAGGTCGCGATCTCCACTCGAGCGCAGGATAGCCCGCTCGAGCGGCTTCAGTAAAATACGCGTGTGACCAAACAGGTTTCCGCTCGAGCGCTGGAACACACGCTCGAGTGCGAAATCACACTTCTCAGTATGTTTACAAACACGACCAACTACTGAGATAGCACATATTACGCTCGAGCGCCAATGGTCCCGCTTGAGCGGGAAAGTCAAAAAACAAGGAAAAATTACGGGTATGTTTGGTTTGGTTTTGAGAGATTAATTTTTAAAAATTGTTTTGGGGAGAGAGTTTAGAATTTTTTTGATTTGTTTGGTTGTGTATTTTGAAAGTAGTTTTGGAGTTTGGGAGTTTGGAATGATTTGACATTTTGTTGTAATTGCGTAGATATGTGTGAGAGAAAAAGTGATTGATTGATGTGTAAGAGAGAGAAAGAAATTTTGAAAATTATTTTAAAAAAATTACAAACCAAACAAGTTTTTTAAAAAAAATTTCTCAAAATTACTCTATAAAGCCAAACCAAACATACCGTACAACTTTTCAAAACAGAGTTTGTACGAGGATTTGACAATAAAGGGACCTAACACATCTATAGGTCTCAATTCCCAGACAAAACTCTTCTAAACAATTTTGCTTAAAACACACGCACTAGACAACCCCAACACAACCTATTGAACATTAAGAAAACAAAACTGAAGCCTTACAAAAAGGTTGAGTTAACATTAATCATCCACTTGTGAATCAGAGAGCAACACAAAAAAAAACAAATGTGGAACTTCATAAGAATATAACAAATGACTATGAAATAACTAAAGTCCACAAAAACAACAGATATATATATATATAAAAACAACTATAGCCAAAGTATATCAAAGTATCCAAACCAAACCACCAAATATCCAAACTGTATTATCCACCAAATATCCATACTGTACCATCAAACATTCCAAAATTCTCCCCCTTTTTGGCCGCGAGACAAGGAGTAAAACAGTCCAACAAACAAAGATCTGTGTCAAGCATCAGGGGGAAGAGGAGGCTGCTGGATCTGAAGCAAAGCGATAATATGAACAAGCTGAGTAGTAGTCTGGACGGCGGACTGCTCCAATTGTCCAAGGCTTAGATTGAAAACTAAAATTTATCCATTTTATAGTGATGGTTCTCGAGTGTTGACACTCATCCTCAATCAAATTTTGCATTTTGTAGTCATTTGATCAATTTGATTTGATGTATAGGTGAATTAGTTGTTTTTTTCTTTGCATATCTTAAATGGGTGGCACCCTCTAGGTGCCTTTTTGAATATAAGTACTCTTTACTTGTCAAAAAAAAGTAGAACGATCCATGAACCCATTACCCCCAAAATCAAAATGAGAAAAAAAATATAAAAGCAATAAAGAAGAAAAAGGAAATTGTGCAGCAGTATAGTCTAGGAAGAAACAAAATTATTATGGAAATCACTTAAATTAGTTTGCATTCTACTAACCGCAGATTGATATGGCATTGTTTGATTTTCTTCATCTGTATGCATTTCTTGATTGGCTCCATTGGCCAAAGTGCTGCCTTGTGTGGCTCCAGACCTTTGCTTCTTTGTAGCAGCAACCTTCTTTGAAGCCTCTTGCAAAGCATCCATTGCGACGTTATAAAAATGTATAGATTTTGCTCCTTCTTCAACAAATTTAATAGCTTCCTGGCGTAAATTGTTATATCTAACAGTTAAAGACTCTTGGGAATTGTTTGGCAGTTCAAGAGCCTGTTCATCAACAACACCTCCACTCTTGGCATTTCTTGTCCATCGTTTCAAAAGATATTCAGAAGGAAGTGTAAGAACATTTTTCGCTCTGAAAACTGATAATATGTGCCTACAAATAATGCCAGAAAATTCAAACATTTGACAGCTGCAGCTCGCTTTCATCTCAAATGCATTGAACCTAACAGTGTGTGCTTTGAGTTCCTCCCCAAATTTGGCCACTCGATATGCAGTAATCATTCCGGAGTCTTCAATTTTAGTTGCAGGATTAGCGAGGGTCTCTACCAATTCCTCTTGAAACTTCATGAATATTCTCCTCGTATAAAGGTTTGCGGCTTGTTTTTCCATAGGAGATGGTGTCTTCAAAACTGGGGTGGTGTTGGTAGTATCATAATCTGCCTTTAATTCCTTTTCATGCCAACTCGCTACAGCTTTCTCATACTGTTTAATTAGCAACTGTATAGTAGTCGTTGCATTCACATACCCATCAAAGAATGAATTTAGACTGTCACCTCCACAGTCGGTCCTAGACAAGTCTCCAAAAAATGTGTCTCGTATGAAAACCGGGACCCATTGATGACGAGCATTGTACATTGACTGAAGCCATTCATTATCCACAAGGTAGTATCTCTCTAGGAGTGATTCCCAACATGACTCAAACTCATCAACTGTCTCGGTCTCATTAACACACTTGTTGAACTCCATCTCAAAGGTGGGATGTGTTTGATATACATGAGCCAGTTTCTCCTGAGTTTCCTTAAATATGCTCCACTTACAGAAACGGTGGCGGGTTTCAGGCAAAACTTGGGCAACAGCCATCTGTATGAGCCGAACTGGGTCAGTGGTGATGGATATGGGGAAGCGCCCGGACATAGCATGAAGCCAAGTCTGGATTAGCCAGACAAAAGAGGAATCGGACTCATTGAGAAGTAATGCACAGCCAAACAACACGGGTTGGCCATGATGATTAAGGCCAGTGAAAGCGGCAAATGGTACTCTGTAGCGGTTCATCCTGTAGGTCGTGTCTAACCTAACAGTATCTCCAAAGTAAATATAGTTCATCCTGGAGGTTGCATCGGCCCAAAATATGTTGGCAGTAGAGTGGTCATGATCACCCTGAAGTGCATAAAAGAAAGAAGGATTCTCTGCCTGAGCTCGCTTCAGATAGTCCAATACATGTTGACCCCCACCACCAAGGGTCCTGTGTCTGCCGCTGCCGCTCATTCTATATCTATATATATACACCGTAGACTAGCTCTCCAAGTCTATCTCACCCCCACCTGATTGATTGACAATGGAGAAAGGAAATCCAATTTAATTCAAAATCATAAAGCAGGAGATGATGATGGGTAGGTACTATTCTCTTTATTGTCTGAATAAGCAGAGTGCTGTGTTCAGCAGGGCGATTGATGAGTCAGGGTATTACAAACAAACAAATAAATAAATAAGCAATTAATCAATCAATCAGTTAAAATTACAAAAATTCCTCAACGTCGTCTATCATCGTCATCACGAATCATACATGTGTTTGTATCTAAAGCAGAATAGAGAAAAGGAGAGGGTATATCATGATGAAGGAAACAGCTGCAACATGAAAAGGGACGTTTGAAAGAAGAAGAAGAAGAAGAAGAAACCTAACCCGGCAAAGGCTGTTGAGTTGGGGAGGGGTGAGAAAGTGAGTGATCACGACACTGGTTCACTGAGGAGACAGATGCCCCCAAACCAAAACTCACCTCTTTCTCCTCTCTGTGAGTTAGGGCTTTCGTTGATGAACCTCCGGGCTCGAATCGAGGCCTCCGTTACTCACACACTCACTTCCAGATTTGACCTGCTTTCGTCTTTCCTTTCGCGTATGAGCTATTTACACGCCTTTTATTTACGATAAATAAATCTAAAATTAAATTTTGTCTTGTCAAATATTCAGACGCTGAGCTGACATTGAGTCCGGATCCTCGGCTGTCATTATCCGCGGTCCTTCCGTGCAGTGTCTCAAAACGATGTTGTTTTGAGGTAAATTTAAAATTAAAAAAAAAGAATAGAACCGAACCCAGCAAGGGAAAAAGAAGAAAGATAGCAGTGATGGGTAACCCACCATCGTGAACCCACACGACCGTGACCCTCCACACGATAGCCGGCGACCTTCGGCCACCTTCGACCTTCAGCCACCGTTCTATTCCTCCTTCTCCTCTCTTTCTCTGCCTTTCTTCTTTTCCCTTCTTTCTTCTTCTCCTTTGTTAGATATTTCAACCATTCTCTTCTCCCAGCTCCTTCCTCCTCCTTTGCAGCAAATAGCCACCTTCTACCACAGACATCCACCACTGACCACTGCTCCGACCACCTGTACCAAACAATACAACCACAACCATCAAAAACAAGAACAAAAGCAAAATCACAATCAAAATTAACCAATAAAAGCAAAATTAAAATCAATATCAAAACTCCACAAAAATAAAATAAAAAATAAAAAATATATATCAAATCCAATTTCAAAACTCACCAATCAAAATCCAAATCATAATTCAAATTCATTGTTGAACATTGCTAAGAAACTGGAATTGATAAGCCAAAAGAAAAACCAGAATTGAAGAAATGTAAACAATAAAAAAACATAGTAGAAAGATCTCTGTTTCTTTTCCTTTCATTCCAAGCAAAGCAAATGGTTTCTAACCTTTCTTTCAGCAAAAATTCACAGTTACAAATCAATTATAAACCCATCATCACCAGACCCACCACCTCTTACAACACCCACCCAATTTTTTTTTTTAATTCTTTTTAGTTTCAAAATAACAATCAATTTCAACAATCAAGATAAATACCCGAGTCAAACTTGCAAAGGAGTTTACATCAGTTATAGGTTCATCGGAACCCTTCCCTCCCCTCATCGCATCCGACCCCTCCTTTTCCCCCATCGCCAAACCTCCCCTTGTCTCCCGCGTCCCTTCCCATCCGTCACAACCCTTTAAAACCCTCTCCTCCCTCCGTTGCATCTCCCCTTTCCCTACACCGTCGCCACTATTTTCCTCCTCCCCTAGTACCGCCTCACCACTGACTCCAGATCCTCAGCCACCTGTAGACACCCCATTTTCGACTGCCTTTAAGACTTGGACGCGACTGATGGTTTACATGATGGAGAAAGGTGTGCAGGGGAAAGGTTCAGTTTCTTCGACAAGGAGAGAGTCAAAGCTCAACTTCATACCCCTTTTTGGACCAAAACAATCTTGATTAAAAGATTTTAGACCTTAAAACCCCCTCTTTCAAAACGTTTTTGAAATAAAATTTTTACGATGTTCCGAGGCTCGCATTTTGTCAAATGTTGCGCTTTTCGGTAAACCAAGCACCTATAGGTTTAGCATCGTAACCGGCCAGTAATCCTTGGATTACCGAAGGCCTCTGGACAGATTAACCAAATTAAGGGGCTAGCGGAAGCAAATACATAAATATAGTTGTCCAATGAGCTGTGCTGACTTATATGAAACGGAATATTTAAAAACTTTATATACATAATCAAAAGTCATTCATACATTATACCCACACACATTAAAGTATCTTAAGTACAGCCAACAGAACAACCGAGTCTTATATGTATAGAAACAACAGAACTTAAACACTTGAGACACTTCAGGAACCTCTACATGAGGCACAACGGTTAGCTGACAACAGAACACAGATCCAGACAAAAGCCTTCAGGCTCGAACTCCAGAATGCCCACCTATACATACATATATACACACAGTGAGCTAAAGCCCAATGAATAACATCAACGTAAAGAGGTTAGTAAACGAATTCCGAACATATCATAGGCGTAAAACAGATCTTAGCATAATCATTCTGATATCAAAACATAATAATGGTACATCCCATAAAATATATCACATAACGTCTTCCGACTAGAGTAATCGGTTCCGGATACGGATTAAACACATATCACCACAATGAAGTGGCTAACGAGATCTCGTAATCACATGTATGTCATGGACCCGCATTTACATGCCGTCCCCCATGACTTGGGACTATCTATGGATGCCATAATAGATTTCAAACATGGAACATTTGTTCACAAAAACAGGTATCATTTCAGAAATCATAACTCATCATATTTCATTTGGAACATAATTCATATGAATGTATCTTTACAATAACGTTACTCACAGTGGTTCCCGTAAATAGTCAATCAATCCTCGAGTCTTGACCTACAATCACAAAATACATAACACAAACATATCTTATCATTACACATTCAGGTGGCTATTATGGCTTAGCTTTCATTACAATAGTTCATATTTTTTCTTATCACATTGCTTAAAACACACTCTTATAAACTCTTAACTTAGTACATTCTTTTTCTTAGCGTGTTTCTAACCCATACCTCATTACTATGGCTTAACTAGGTCTTAGGAATGCCTAAGATGCAATGAGGATGGCAAAACATGAGTTGGAACACTTAGTCAAATTTTTGAAAATAGGGTCTCTGCTCGAGCATAAACATGCAAACATGAGAGGGGTCGCTCGAGCACAGATTCCTTCGCTCAAGCGATCTGCAAAAACATGAAACTTCTGGGAGCTTGCATTTCACGCTCGAGCAGATTCATGGTCGCTCGAGCGGAAGTGCACGCACTTAAAGCGGTCGCTCGAGCGTGAACTCCTACGCTCGAGCGTAGATGCAGAATCTGGAATTTCCAGATTGCACCTCCAAGCTCAAAACTCGAATTCAACTCATCAAAACACATCTCTTGGGCCCCAAAACTTGAGATAACCTAGTAAACTTGTAAAATATGAAGAATAAAGGATCATTTCATAAAATTATGGCCCAAGAGTTTGCCAAAAGTTCACAATTTATCTTGAAATTCAAGAAACAAAACATGCATGTAAAATCTTTTCTTCAAACCTCATGAAACTAGCAAATTGAGCTCATAAGCTCCATGCATGTAAGAAATTCTTCCCAAAACATGATTTTAAGTGAAGGAACATAATAATTCAAACATGCATGCACTAAATAACTCCCAAAATAATTTAGATGCTCAAAATCAAACTAAAATGACAAACCTCTATATATATGTATACATGCATGTGAAATTATAATCAAATCCTCCATCTTCTTGACCAACATATGTAAATTACATGCAATGATCCTAATAACTCCATGAATTCATCTCTACAACACATAACTCTTTGAATTAATAGTCAAAAGCTTACCTAGAGTCTTGAATTACTCTTGTTCTAGCATAATCTTGGTGAATTCAATACAAAACCTTCAATTCTTCTTCAATCTCTTCCTTCCTCTCTCTAGAATTGTGCTCCCTCTCTCTCTAAAATGTCTCACCAAAATTTTCCACTCAAGGGATAAAAGAAATGAGCTCAAAATGAGCTTATATCTCATATATATATATAGCTATGATGCTAAAATACATTAATTAGAATATAAGGCTAACCAAACACGACTTAATTAATCAGACTGAATCAATTTTTAATAAAATTTGCCATATGGTTCTAAAAATTTCAAATAACATATTGACGTAATCAATTTCGTTTTCGGATGCCGATAAGGCTTTCAATTTTCATATTAAAGCGGAATTACAGACAGATATTTCTACAAGTAACACATAGAAAGCCAAAATCATGCAAAACACAAAATAAACACATAATTTATTTTAATTCTCTCATTAGCATCATTAACTACAGATTAGCCGCTAATTACGGATCGGGGTTGTTATAGTCCTCCACAAGCTTTTCTAGGACATCCTATAGCTCATTTGGACACGTGTGTGCAGTATAACTTGTGGTAAGTATCGCTCTGATACCATTCTGTCACGACCCAAACCCGCCCCTATGGGTTTAGCACCGTAACCGGCCAGTAATCCGAGATTACTGAAGGCCTGCTTAACAGTAATATAGTAAAACAGAGTACAGGGCCTGGCGGAAGCCAAAACAATGAATAAACAATGTCTAATGAGCTGCGACAGTCTGTATGCAAAAAAAAGACTTTTCATACGTATAAACGAAACAGTACAGAACAGTATGTACAATATTTACATTCATTCAGAACAGGGACTCAATCCCTTATCAGGTAGTACAGTACAGTGCTATCAGTCTATATAGTTCACAAAACAGATATAGAGACAGAAGGGGGAAATAAAAGACCCCTAAGCCATAGCATGGCAGGCTCGGAACCTCACATTGAGGCACATAGGTTGGCTCGACAAAACTGGAGTTTACCCCGACGCTTCTAGCTGCGGTCTAGTGCCTGTACACCTACATATATATATGAGCAGTGAGCTAAAGCCCAATGAATAACACAATGCGTAAAGGGGTTAAGAATGAATGTCCTTACAGTAATGAAAACAGTCCATTAAATCAGTATTTCAGTCATTCAGTCAGTACAGTCATATGTGGTACATCCATTAGCATAACAGTACAGTAAACAGTAGGTCTTAAAAGACCGAGCAGTAAATGATGGCCATCAGTCAGTAACTGTAGTGGTTCCAACGAGGGAACCGACAGAGATCTCTGTAACAATATCAGTAAACAGTAGGTGCTAAGGATGCCACAATACAGTTCAGAATATAGGACATACATTCATTCAATTGACAGTAATCAGTTCAGAAAGCAGTACAGTTCAATTGATCAGGAGATAATCATTTTGAACATATCTTTACACAGATGTTACTCACAGAATTCTGGGCTACAGTAAGCTAGAGCGTCTCCTCAGAAAGCCAATCCTACACAGTTAACAGATTGAACACACACTAAGCTACACAGTCGGAAAAATAATAACTTAATCCCTATCTTGCCTCGGTGTGTTCTACATCTATATCCTCATTAGGAAGCTATTATTGTATGCAAATTCAGCTAGTGGTAAATAATC